TCCAGAGACCAGGTCCACATCCAGAGACCAGGTCTCTGGGTGTGGACCTGGTCTCTGGAAGAGACTTGTCTCTTTGGTTTATGTTAAATGTAAATAAACAGGTTGAACTGTTTATGTATGAAACCAGAACAGGATCTTTAACCTGAACCAGAATCTGTGAGGGTCTGAATAGAACCAGATCTCTACAGGTGGTTCAGAGACTCTGTTGGGAAACAAACACGTCTGTGACCTGATAAATATGTAAATTAAGCACATGATCACATACTGCAGATGTGTCAGCAGCTTGTTCTCATGGTTTTCCTGCTGCAGGGGAACTGCTCTCACGGGTCCATGAGAACAGTTTACAGCTGAACCACAACCACAGCCAGTTCACTGAAACAGGAAGTCTGAGCAGTGACTGTCAACTATTTACCTATGCTCAGACAGAAGAGCAGGTACACGACACACCTGCATGAGCTGAACCGACCTGCTGCTGCTGGTTTTCAGACCTCAACCCAAATCAAGACTGAGGCTGCACTTCAGTTAAACAACAGTTTGACAACAGACCAGCACAGACTGAAGGTCCTGGCTCCAAGTGGACTCTGGTGGCAACAGCTTTGACAGTTATCCATTACTGATGCTAGCTCTCCGAGCTAATGCTACATATGATACACATCAACACAGACAGGTGTACAGACAGGCGTACTGTCAGACAGGTGTGTACTCACCTGTAAGCGTCTGTCTTCAGGTCTTGGTGCAGGGCGACAGACAGACCGAACAGACTCCCATCTCCGCCCGTCTTCAGCAGCGGGAATGACGTGTCGAGGTTAAAGGCCACACACACACCGACACAAACACTTAGCAACACACACACACCTGACGCCATGGAGACACACACCTGAAAGAAAAAAAAGACGACCTCACACAACACCACGTCAGATCAGCTGAACTATCACTTTCATGTCACTGAGTACGTGTCATTATGCAAATGACCCTGTTGTATTGTATTTGTGTTTGGTCTCCTTCCTGACGGTTCACACCTGACTGACACCTTCTGAATCAGACTTCCATCTGAGCACAGATCAAACATCTCTCAGACGTTAGTAACTGCAGCTGTTAAACACTGTAGCTGAATGACCACAGTAATCTGTGCTCTCTAGTTTAATTAAATGGACCAAACAAACTGGGACATTTTTATTGTGTTTGAGTGTCTATGGTCATAAGGAGGAATTAAATGATTAATTTGACTGATAGTTTCTCTTCAGTCAGACAGAAGCAGCTCAATGTTGTTTATGATGCTGAATAATAATAAACTGTATTTTCACAGTGAACTCGTTTCAGCACTGGTTCTGATGAAACATCAATTGCATGTACACACTTAAATTAGAAATTTTCTCTAAATACAATTATCTTAAAATAAAAAACATGAAATGCATTTATTTCTCAGCTAATGAAGAAATATTGAACATTAATTTTACTAATAAAACTCAGCCTGTTGTTGATGGTAAATGATTCTGTGAGTCAGACTCTGAATGTGAAGAGCGTTTTTACACAGTGTTGTTGGTTTAGAGATGAAGATGAACCTGGTTCAGGTTCAGGTTCAGGTTCAGGTTCACACAGGTGACAAAGAGTTTTCACTGTTAAACAAATGAACTTTAGAACATAAGAGAGCAGAAGAAAAGATTTCAAACCTGTTTCTCTGCTGTCGACAGAAGCAGCTCGTCCTCTGTTTGTTTGTCCGTTTGTTAATAAAGGTAAATGAAAGCAGCAGCTCCTCGTCCTCAGGTCGTCCGTTTGATTCGTGCTCTGCTCTGTCTGACTCTTCAGTCTGAAGAACTGATCTACACAGGCTCAGCTGCCCCCTCCCCTCTCTCTCTCTCTCTCTCTCTATCGCTCTCTCTCTCTCTCTCTCTCTCTCTCTCTCTCTCTCTCTCTCTCCTCTCGCCTTCCTCCTCTCTCTTCTCTCCTCCTGTCTCTCTCTCTCTCTCTCTTTTCGCATCTCTCTCTCGCTTCTCTCTCTCTCCTCTCTCTCTCTCTCTCTCTCTCTCTCTCTCTCTCTCTCTCTCTCTGTTTCACCTCTGAGTCCCCCCCCCCGCCCACTCTCTCTCATTCTCATTCTTCAGTTGTGCTTGCTTGCCCTGAAATGAAATCATGTCTGTGTGTGTGTGTGTGTGTGTGTGTGTGTGTGTGTGTGTGTGTGTGTGTGTGTGTGTGTGTGTGTGTGTGTGTGCTTTAACCCACCCACATACACAGGCCATAAAAGGATTTGGGCGTGCGAGGGCACCTTGATTGTCTCTCTCCACACACACCCTCCTGTTATTAATGTGTGTGCGAGAATGTGAATGTTTTAACCCTAATATTATGAGTTCTGAACTTTGACTACTTACACACACACACACACTTCCTGTCTTTGTGATGACTTCCTCTTTCTCTCCTCCTTCTGTTTTTCAAAAACAGTTAATCAGTCAGACTTACACACAAACCTCCTCCAGGACCTGGAGTCAGAGCTGTACTCACCATGAGGCGGATGAGGGTCAGAGAGATGTTGCTGTAGTGACCGTAGTGTCTGAGCCAATCACAGCAGAGAGCAGGACTCAGGACGCTGCAGAGGACGAGGAGGCTGGTCCAGCTGATCATGATGAAGGTGATGAAGATGAAGATGTGAGCTGTGCTGAGTGTCAGTGTCTCCAACATGCTGCTGATCTGAGTTCAGGACTTTTATTCTAACAGGACAGGAAAGAGAAAGAGAGAGAAAAAGTCCCACAGTCCCACTGTTTCTACTCTCCCTTTCACACACACAGAGACACACACACACACACACACACACACACACACACACACACACACACACACACACACACACGTTTGTACTTGTAGCTCTATGGTTTAATCTCAAACTGTTGTTCACCAAATCAGCTGAGCTCAGAGCTTGTTAACAGCACGCTCTCCTCTGATTGGCCGAAACCTGCATAGGGGACAGCACCCACTCATCTTCTTACCAGCAAACTGTTAAACTCAGTAACTAGTAACTCATCTTTAACTAGTAACTAAAGTCAGTTTAGCTACTCAGTAGCTTGTACCTAAACTCAGTAACTAGCACCCAAACTCCGGACTAACAGGATGTAGCTAACCTGCCATGGAGACTCGTCTGGTCCATTAGTTCATGTTTGAGCCTGAATCATGGATCAGATGGGGGACAGGTCAGAGGTCACAGCCTGTGTTGACTGAATTTTTTACCTGTTTGCTGTTGATTGTGACATCACACTGATGCTGCTCTGTTGACAGGTGAACGTCTGCTGTCAGGAGGTGAAAGCTAACGTTAACGTTACTGAAATGTTACTCTACTGAACCTGTTCACGAGGGAAGCAGCGTCTTGTTGACATGGCAACAGGCTGAAACTATCCACACTCCTCTCAGCCTGCGCTCTAACCAGCTTCGTTTGAGGGCGTGTCAAATTGTCCGGTAGGCGGGGATTATGCAAATGAGTTACATAGTGTCTCCAGAGGTGGAAACAAACACTGACGTTAACCCTGTCTCTGTCACGTCTTCCCTTCCACTAAAGTTAGCATGCTAACCAGTTAGCTCCTGTCACTGTAGCCTCCGGTGAGTCCTGGAGCTGCTCATAGGACGAGTTAGAACCTCTGGTCTTGTAAACACAACGATGCTGAAGGTAAAAACTTACAGGTCTGTTTGTACAGAAGTCACTGGTGTGGAGATGGAGATGTGAGCTCAGGTGAACATCTGTTAAACACATGATTTGGTTCAATGTGGAGAATGTAGAATGAGGTTTGACTCTTCAACATCATGAGAATGATGGTGTTGGTTTAGTTGAAGTCTGAGGAGGTCTAACCAGAGACCTGGTCTTCAGATCTGAATCTAACTCCACAACCCTCAAACTGTTGGTCTGGATCAAAGTGAGTCACACTGGTCCTCACAGAGACAGACAAGAACACACACACACGTCATATCTGCAGCTGCATCAGCACCCTCATGATGAAAGAGTCTCAACTTGTTTTGCTCTCTCTCTCTCTCTCTCTCTCTCTCTCTCTCTCTCTCTCTCTCTCTCTCTCTCTCTCATACAAAAACACATGCAGAGGTTCTCTGATGCTGCTGTGGTCATGTCTACAATCAACCAATCAGACAACAGTTACTTTCAGTCAATATAAAACTGACAAAGAGCGACTGATCAAAGGCTTCATGCACATGAATGCATCAGAGACCAGAGCTGCACCTGAACACACCACAGAGACCAGAGCTGCACCTGAACACACCACAGAGAACAGAGCTGCACCTGAACACACCACAGAGACCAGAGCTGCACCTGAACACACCGCAGAGACCAGAGCTGCACCTGAATGCACCAGAAACCAGCGCTGGTCTCTGGATGTGAGTCAGTCCCGATCCTCTTGTTGTGTCACTTCCTGTTGTGGGACAGGAAGTCGTGTTGATAGTAGAAGGGCTGAACAGGAAGAGACTGATTGTTGTTTGCAATGTGATAACAGGGAACACGAGGGTGGGGGTGGGGATTTTTACATATTAAACCTCTGTGTGTGTGTGTGTGTGTCTGTGTGTGTCTGTGTGTGTCTGTGTGTGTGTCTGTGTGTGTCTGTGTGTCTGTGTGTGTCTGTGTGTGTGTCTGTGTGTGTGTCTGGGTGTGTGTCTGTGTGTCTGTGTGTGTGTCTGTGTGTGTCTGTGTGTCTGTGTGTGTCTGTGTGTGTGTCTGTGTGTGTGTCTGGGTGTGTGTCTGTGTGTCTGTGTGTGTGTCTGTGTGTGTCTGTGTGTCTGTGTGTGTCTGTGTGTGTGTCTGTGTGTGTGTCTGGGTGTGTGTCTGTGTGTCTGTGTGTGTGTCTGTGTGTGTCTGTGTGTCTGTGTGTGTCTGTGTGTGTGTCTGTGTGTGTGTCTGGGTGTGTGTCTGTGTGTCTGTGTGTGTGTCTGTGTGTGTCTGTGTGTCTGTGTGTGTCTGTGTGTGTGTCTGTGTGTGTGTCTGGGTGTGTGTCTGTGTGTCTGTGTGTGTGTCTGTGTGTGTCTGTGTGTCTGTGTGTGTCTGTGTGTGTGTGTCTCTGCCTCCACCAGCAGATGGAGCTGTTTTATTACTGTATATATTCATGTATATTTATTTTCTCCCATTCTTTCTCCTGTTGTAACAGATGGGCGGGGGGCATTTATATACACATATACATTTTATTTCATGTGTATATTTGACATTTTTATATTTTTCAGTTGTAATGAAGAATAAACTGGATTTTCAGCTGCAGTTTGAGGTTCAACATTTTTTCATGTTGATTAATAGGCAAGTGAAACTTATTTAATAAACTGAACCAGAGACAGAATCAACTCATGAAACATCAGAGTTTCTATTTGTGAAAAATTTACATTTTCATTTAGTTCAAATGTTTGTTGCCACTGAGCGTCACAGTTGTGTGTGGAGGAGCAGAAGCCTCAGCTGCACATGTGCAGTAGAGCTGAAGCCACGTTAGCTGCAGGTCCTGAGTCTTGGAGGGGGCCGGACCTTTAATCTAAACCTGTGGTGTTTGGAGTTTGAGCCATGAAGCTGAGGACTGAGAACCAGAACCAGAACCAGGACCAGAGGTCAGGTGAGGAGGTAAATCCTGGGTAAGTGTTCGAGACAGGTATGGACCAGGTCCACAGGTGTGTGGAGGCGCAGCTGGGCTTTTCAAACCATGACTGTAAGGGATTCTGGTCTTCCAATCCAGTGTGGTCTAGTCCGGGTGATTCCGGTTCAGTCTGGTTCAGTCCAGGTCTCTCAGACATTGGGTCGGATCTCAGCGTAGTTCTTGATGACTCCAGAGAACCTGACGATGTGAACCTCGGGGTTTCTGGATTTGAAGTCCTGCCACAGGTACTCAGGTGACAGAACCTTACTGGGCTTGTTGGTCCACATGTACCTGAAAACACAGGAAGTATAATAATCACAACATAAAACCATCAGCTGTTCAGCTAACCCTAACCCTAACCCTAACCCTAACCCAGCTCCCTCCATCTACCTGTTCAGGTGACTCTCCTCCTGCCACGCAGCCTCGATGCCATCCTTGGCGTCAGCCTCAAAGTTGGCACGGCAGGTTTTGGCGAGCAGGTGAACTTCCTGCAGGCGGCCTCCAAACGCCCCCCCACAGTAGTAGAAGTCTCCCTCCCCAGGAGCAATGTACGCCCTGGAGGTGGGTCTCCGCTCGTAGGGGAACCTGCTTCGGTCATCTCTGTAGTAACCTGCAGACACAGGTGGGAACAGATCAGCCAAAACACAACCTAAAATAACTTTACTCCAGTGCGTATCCCTCCACCTCAGAACATAGTCCTCCTCATCACAGCTGACAGTCTGAGCAGAACACCTTTAATGGCTGTCCAACACTGAACTTTATTTGTAAAGCACTTTTCAGGCAGGAGATGTTGCTAAAGAGCTTTTTAATAAAAACAACAAACAACTCTTTAACTTTATATTCAACTTTATAAAAAATAAGTCCAAATAAATAAGGTCTTAAAGGTTCTGAACGGCCGACGCCTCTCGAAGTCACTGTACGGACACATCAGGTTATATCAACAACACTTATTTAGATTCATGTCGGAGGACCCCACAAACTAACGATGTGTCGCTGTGGAGACAAGAACGGACCCTCTGACCTGGGTGTATCACAGCAACCAAACTGCCCAGTGACTCCGCCCCCCAGTGGCCATGGAACTTGGAGTCCACATCCAGACAGAAGATGTAGTCAGTGGAGTTATGGAGCTCCTCGATCAGCGTTTGGATCATCTCCATCCTGCGAGCGGAGATCTCCTGCCAACGCTTGGAGCTGGGCACCGAACGAACCATCAGCTGGAGGAGGAGAAGGAGGAGTTTTAGACAGAGTCCCGCTGATCTGGGGTCAGTTTGTTGGAGATAGAACTTCCTGTACCTGTCTGCCGGCAGCCATCTTGACCTGGGGCACCTCCTGCGCCCGGTCGGTGAAGACGTACACGTGAACCTTGAACCCAACGAAGAAGTGCTGCTCTGAGGTCTCCAGGAAGTCCTTCAGGAACTTGATGTACCTGTGGAGCAGATGAGAAGGGTGACCTCCAGGTCAAAGGTTAAACCAGACATGTTGCGTTCACTGTGACGTCGTACTTTCCCACAGCGAACACGGTGGCTGCGACGGTGATGTTCCTCGGTCTGTAGATGCTGTCGAGGAGAACCGGATTAAAGGTTCCCTCCCAGACCACCGGAGCCAACCAGGGCGTCACCGTCACCACGTCAGTACGACTACGATAAAGACACACTGATGTCATCAACAAATACCAACAAACATCAACAACAACAGTGATGAGGGTGAATGATACTCACCCCTGCAGGATGCTCGGCTGTTTGTACTGCAGACTGAAACACAAAGAGGGCGTCACTGCTTTTATTTTGAAAAGCCTAGTCAGCCCAGTCAGACTCACAACACCTCCCAGTCGTCTGACACACCTGAACCTCAGCTGACTCATAACACACCTGACCATGTTTCAGTTAATGAGGTCACAGGGTGGAATGTTTGGGAGGCTCTGATTTATATGATGCTCATGAACTAAACTGTATAAAACATCAGTCTGTCAGCACAGACTCCGCCTCCTCCCCTGTCAGACTGACTGTGAACACCTGTCAAGGGGCCACCATCAGTCACCTTTACCTGCACCTTCAACTGTGACCAGTTAGCAGTTAGCATTAGTATGTCACTGCTCACCATCACCTGTGTGGACTTACTGCTGTACTGTACTGACATCCAATCAGTGGTCCCCATGTACGTGAAGCCACCCACCCATGACTGACAGGTGTGTTTATACTTAAACTAAATCTGATGAAGATGAAAATGAGCGAACTTACTGGTTGGGAACCACCAGGGGGAAGTCATGAGTCCTGATGACAGCTTGAGGAGGCCTACACACACACACACACACACACACACACACACACACACACACACACACACACACACACACACACACACACACACACCACTGTCACTGAGGAGGTGTGTGTGTTTGTTGAAGCTCTTATTCAGACTGGGGGGGAGGGGTCATTTACAGCAGGTACAGATGCTCAGAGGGGGCGGGGCCTGTATTCACCTCAGCTGTCTCTGTGAGATGTGTGACGGCTCATATTTCAGAGTGAAGTCTCGTTTTGATCCAGTTACTGGAATAACACTTCCTTTAACAAATTAAAAGCCCAGTTTTCAGTGGACAGAAACCCAATAGGGCTTTTATTGCTGTGGTACATGAACCTCTGATGTCACAACTGGAAATGACATCACACCTGAGTTGAAAATGTTCAAGTAAAACAGGTGGGAAACTTGTTATTGTTGAGACAGAAAAACAGATAAACAGATAAACAGGTAAACAGATAAACACTAAACAGATAAACAGGTGAACAGGTGAAGGTGAGAGAAGTGGGAGGAGCCTGTTAGATGACACTGAGGGAGAAAACACCACCTGGACAGACACAGTGTGTTTGAGTTACTGACCCGTCCACCTGTGTGACATCTGTCTGCTCGAAGGACCCCACGACTCTGCAACACACAAACATACAGAGACCAGATCAGCAGGTGAGACTCCACCTGTCTCCACCTGTGAGGACTGAAGCTGTGATGAAGTGAACGACAGCATGTGTGTGTGTGTGTGTGTGTGTGTGTGTGTGTGTGTGTGTGTGTGTTACCTGTACGACTGGAAGATGTAGCAGTACAGCACTCTGAGGGTTCAAGCAGAAACATAATGATTAATCAATAGTCATCCATCATTACTGATCACTTGGACTGTAACTGATCAATACTTCTGGATTAACCAACCACATTTGTTCTGATTGTGACATCACTTTATTTCTGATTATAATCTATCATTAATATCATTAATGATTTACTGATTGACTTGTGTGTCACTGTTAACCACACACTGACGCATCCTGACACAGTGAGGATGATGATGATGATGATGAAGACCGTGTGTGTGACTGTTTGTGTAGCTCTTAGCAGCTGCCGCTCTGAATGACCTGAGCCTGATAAATGTATTGACTTTGCTTTGTGCTCAGCTGAATGGAGCTCAGGACCAGGATCAGGACCAGATCAGGATCCGGATCAGGATCCGGATCAAGATAAGAGTTCACCAAGGTGAACCTGTCAAACTTGGTTTTGTTTATTTGTTTTATTATCAATTCACCTGCAGATTATTTTCTTGATTATGTTTCAGGTCACATCCTGTTTGTCCACAATCACAGAAAATATTAACCATTTGTGTGAAGTCTTGGGTCATGCTAAAAAGTGTTTTGTGAGGTCACACTGACCTTGACCTTTGACCACCAAAATCTAATCAGTTCATCCTTGAGTCCTAGTGAATTTACCACTTAAGAATTTGAAGAAGTTCTGTTGAAGTGTTACTGAGATATCAGGTCCACGAGAACAGTGCTAGTATCTGTAGTACGAGTAGTATTAATACTGCAGTATTTGTAGTAGTAGTATGTGAAGTAGGGATGGGCACTTGAGGAAATTTCCTTATTCGATCATCAGGAAAATTAATGATCAATTATCGATTCGTTATTAATTTTTTATATCAAAAAATGCATATGGCAGAAAATACTAAAGAAAGCGACTTGTTCCTCAACGAAATCTTTACTGCAAGAAGAAATTATATTCCAACAACAAGCCTCTTAAACACGGCAGTGAAAGTTTAATAGTTTGACTATTAAAGTTTAATAGTTAAACTTTAAGTTTAATAGCTTAACAGCTTTAATAGTTTAACTGTTAAACAGAACAAAAAGATATTTAGGGCTCCTAAAGGAGGCGGAGCTCGAGGCTCTGAGCCAAAGCTGCGGCGCTTATACACGCCGTTGCAATGTTTACAATGAGCTTCGATATTTTTCAGCTTCCCACACCAAACTTCATTTCTCTCTGTTGCCAATTTAAATTGTGCCGCGGCTGGTTGCTGCCACGTAGTGAAACACAACCTCATTGATACACACATTAGATCGATCAGATTCCACGTGATCGACAAAATTGTTAACAATCAATTATCGATCATCGATTAATCATACCCACCTCTAATGTGAACTATTAGTACAACAGTATCAGTAGTATTAGTATTTGTGGTATTAGTACTAAAACATTAGTAGTATTTGTAGTATTAGTACTCACCCCAGCAGCAGAGCTAGCAGCAGAATCACTGTCACTATTTTTCCGTTCAACAGATGCATCTCACAGTCCGAGTCAGACCAGGACAGTCTTGATCCACAGGGTGTGAATCCTCAGTCCAGACCAGGTCCACTAGAGACCGGATCCACTAAAAATCAGATCCACTGAGACCAGATCCGAGATCTGAGTCAGTATACAGCAGGTCTGAAGACACCAGTCCTCTCACAGCTGTTAGTCTCCATTTGTCCAAGTGTGTCCCGGTTCAGTTCAGTCTGTTGTGGATCAGCCGGTCCAGACTTCAGTGAAGTGGTTCTGACAAATTCTGATTGTTCATTTGTGTTTGTTCCAGTGTTAGGGGAAACAGCAACAACCAGGAAGCCACGGTCGAGAGTGAGCTGCACTGTCGAGAGAGAGAGAGAGAGAGAGAGAGAGAGAGAGAGAGAGAGAGAGAGAGAGACCGGGGGGGGGGGGGGGGCATTAGAGTCGGGTTTCAGCTCAGAGATTTGTTTCCTCTGCTGCTGTGGGAATCACTGCCATTAAACCACTGAAGAAGAAGAATTTAAAAGATAAAAATAACTTTTTAACACCACAGACTGTCATGTGACAAAGTACCAACAAGCCTGTACTAATGTGGACTCTGAAGGGGCAACATGCAGGAGCGGTGCTCGTGGTGGGGGTGTGGCAGGGGGTGAAGGACTGATAGGAGCAGTATAATAACTAAACCTGTTCTATTCTGACATCACACTGGAAGAGAAGAAGACAGGAACAGTGTACAATAACAACAACTGTGGAATGGCAGCAACAACAGTTAGCTTGTTTGGGCTAATGTTAGCTGGTTTTGATTTACCATAGACTGTAAATAAAGATGGACGTCGCCTCTGTGAAGTCACCCACAGGTTTCTGAAGCTCAGAGTGAGCTGCTCCACCGTCACCATCTTGGCAGTGTCTGACCCCGCCCCTAATGCTCAGCTAATCCAATAATAGTCAAAGAGGAGGGGCTTGTGTGGAGCTAAGACTTCTGTACACGACAGTTTGTGGCAAACATAGTCACCCACCTGTCACTCAAAGAGGCCACACCCGCAATCCTCCATAACTTTAGTCCTTAATGAAATGTAAACAGGTGAGTTATATAAACAGGTGTCATGAAGGAGGAAATTAGCTCTAGAGATCAAAACAGTTTTTGTACCAGGCTGTAAACATGTTTATTTCTGCTGTAAAGTTAATGTTAAAGTTAACATGGGAGTCTATGGGGACTGACTCACTGTTGGAGCCAGACTCTAGTGGTCGTTAGAGGAACTGCAGCTTCTGGTTCTTCATGTTGATGCTTCATGTTTCAGTCTGGAGGTTGATGCTTGTAAATAACATTAGCTGGTTTAGACTAACGTTAGCTTGTTCAGGCTAACTGATTATAATCTGAATCACAGTCAAATAAAAACATGTAGCGTTTACACAGCAGTAGCATGTTCTTTGTAAAAACCTCTGATGTCATCATGTATGTAGAAACAGTCAACTGTCAGTTTGACTCATGATTTCTTCAGAAACCACCCCACCCCCCCGCAGCTACACATCAGACCACATGACCACTGGCTCACAGATCTACAGCCAATCAGAGGTTGATAGACTTCACCCACCAGACTTCATGGAGTAAACTGGAGTATATTAGGACACAGCTGAGTCTGTTACCTGCTGGAACAACTGATCTGAAGTCTGCTGCGTCACTAAAACCCCCAGCTCACCTCCACCTGACCGCACTGGCCAGGTGTGTGACATCACACCGACGCACGGTCATAACCAACTAATTATTGATCCTCTACACATCATCTTTCGCTCCATCTCAGCTTATTTCCGTGTTTGGCGCGAGCCGCGACAGGAGCCCGGCTGTCAGTCAACCCTCTCACCTCCGCGAGACAACCGGAAGCAAACGAAAAGAGAAACAAGAAACTCATTAAACATCACAGACTTACCGTGTCCGCGCGCCGTTCCCTCCTCTTCTTCTTTACTTTACTATTCTTCTTCTTCTTCAGCCCAATTCCAGTCTGACCCCTCCCCCCTCCGTTCATTCAGGGGGAGGGTCTAAACAGAGACAGAGAAACGGAAACTTTTTTTTTTTTTTTTTTATTGAAACAGATACAAACAAACAAGGCACAGCAGAGTCACCAAAATCACAGACTTTTGCCTTGGGTTGAGTAACCTCAGTAATACAAAATATACATTTTGAAGTTTACCTCTTTTACTTTGGGAGGGAGTGGAAATGAAATATAATTTTTTCTTATTTTACTAATCTTTTCCGCTTCAAATTCCTTGAGGATGTACCTTCTTTTTACTGGGTTAGGGTAATATTCTTCTAGCAAAATGTTTCTAATAACTTTGTTAGTACATTCTATTATAATGCTTAACATTACATTGAAGTTGGTATTTTTGACAAAAATCCTCATGCTGTAAGACGTTTCCAGTATCATCCAGAAAGTGTGCAACAGCCCAGACTCCCTTTGATCTCCAGTCCTCTATATACACAGATTTTCTACTAAGCAAAATGTACCTGTTGTTCCACACAGGTGTGTTGTGTGGTGTAAAATTATGACTATAAATTAACTTCCACTAGAGAAGGACTTGCTGATGGAAAGCAGAGAGTTTAAGTGGTAATGAGCTGCACTCAAAGTCACAGCGCAGAAGAAAGTCTATTCCACCCATTTTTTTGAAAAATCATATTAGGAACAATAAACCAGAAGGAATGTCTATTTGTAAGGAAAGATTTTAACCATTTCAGTTTCAAGACACCATTCATAATATCAAAATCAATCGCATTCAACCCCCCATCATCATAGTTTTTAACCATGTCAATCTTTCTTATATATTGACATCTATTTCTCCATATGAACTTAAAATGAACAGTATTAATCATTTTGATCAGTCTTGCTGAGATGGGTAAGGAGAAGGCTGGGTAAATGAGTCTGGACAGACTATCCATTTTTGATAATAAGACTCTGCCAAAAATTGAAATATCTCTCTGCAGCCACCTGTTTAGTATTGACTTACACTTGTCCACATTGTTACAAATATTCATCTTTTCAGTTGTTGTTTTGTCCTTAGAGATAACAATCCCCAAATATTTGACCTCCTTTTTTATCTTCATGTTATACAGGGATTGTAAATGATAATCATGTAATGTTAAAATTTCACATTTATTTAAATTCAGCTGTAAGCCAGAAGCTTCTGAGAATTGATTGATAGACTGCAATGATAAGGGAATTTGATCTTCATTTTTCAGAAATAACGTTGTGTCATCTGCCAGTTGACTTATTACAATTTGTCTGTCCATCACATTTAGTCCTTCAATGTGACTGCTTTTGATTAGAATAGACAACATGTCGGCAACTTCTTATTGTGTTTATAAATAAAATGCATTTAATTATCATGATGTCATTGTTTCATTGTTTTAGTGATGTCACGGCGTTGCTCCATCTGAATGTTTCCATAACAACCAGAAAGTGAATGTGTGGCCTGAAAGTGAAAACTGTGATGTCATCACTTTATGAAGTAAGCGCCAATGTGTAGAGGATTCAGCCTTCAAAATAAAAGTTTAACCTATAATCATTAAATCTGCTTAATAAAAATCGGACTCAAAACTCTGTGTTTCTGAATTTGAACCTTTTATATTTGTATTAAGTTACATTTTTATTTCAATTTTTCGTTTATTATTCAGTCCGTAACAAAGTCCCAGCTTTTATTTTGTAGAAGTGAGCGTGTGACTTCCTGTGAGGTTTAGAAAATGAAAGTGAAGGGACTTCCACTGCAGAAATGAGAGAATATTCCCACAAAGTGAATGAATGAAGATGTTTGATTCACTCATTCACCCACATCTGTATTTTAACAAGTAACTGAGTACATTTACTGCAGTAGTACACAGAGGAGGTACTTTTACCTCCATGTTGTACTTGTACTGCTCAACATCTGTCATCACATCTTCACAGCTTTTATACAATATGAAGCATCAAGTCAATCTAACATGATACGACCACAGTGTGCTTTTACTTTGAAGGCTCAAACACACTTTACTGAGCGACTTCTCAACTTTATATAAACTAGTGACAGAGAGTGGCTCCTCCCACACAACAGGTGAACTGGTGACTCTGAAGTGCCCAGGTGTGAATGTATGTGTGTGTGTGTGTGTGTGTGTGTGTGTGTGTGTGTGTGTGTGTGTGTGTGTGTGTGTCTCTGTGTGTGTGAAAGGGAGAGTAGAAACAGTGGGACTGTGGGACTTTTTCTCTCTCTTTCTCTTTCCTGTCCTGTTAGAATAAAAGTCCTGAACTCAGATCAGCAGCATGTTGGAGACACTGACACTCAGCACAGCTCACATCTTCATCTTCATCACCTTCATCATGATCAGCTGGACCAGCCTCCTCGTCCTCTGCAGCGTCCTGAGTCCTGCTCTCTGCTGTGATTGGCTCAGACACTACGGTCACTACAGCAACATCTCTCTGACCCTCATCCGCCTCATGGTGAGTACAGCTCTGACTCCAGGTCCTGGAGGAGGTTTTACTGGTACTTAGTCCCTGTGAGGTTCCTGAGGAGTGAAATGATCCTGAAGGCATCACAGACTGTGTGTTTACATATCTGATCCATATTAAACATCAAAATTTACGTAAATCAAATAAGAGCAATGATCTCATAAGGAGAACTGATCATTATCAGACCACATTGATCATGTAGGTGATCAGAATCAAATAACATGACACTGATCAACAGATGTGAATGATGAAGGTTTTCCAGATGTGGTAAAATGAAGCATCATCTCTTTATGTTTCAGGCCGGCCAGCTGACTGAACAGGACAGTCCAGTTTCCTTTCCATACAAATTCTACAAACACATACGCAACTCTGAGGTAATCAATCAATCTATCTATCTATCTATCTATCTATCTATCTATCTATCTATCTATCTATCTATCTATCTTCTTTCAAAGGTTTTAACTGCAGATTTCTACCACTTCCATTGTTTTCAGATCGTTGTTTGTTGGTTATTGTTTGTTTATTATTTACATGTATACATCGACACGTCAGGAGACATTTACATACAACCATGTAAACAAACCCAGATGTTGTCTGTTATGTTGATGACATCAGCTCTATCAGCCAATCAGAGAGCTCCTAGTCACTCCTGTCTCTCTCTCCAGGTGAGGTCCAAGGTGGTTTTCATCAGAGACAGTCTGGTCCAGATCTCTGACCTTTATCGCCATGACAACCTCTCCTCCGTTTCCTGGGATATCGACAATACTAATAGATTCCGGATGAGCATCGACAGACAGATAGACGGCCTGAACACCTGTGTGAGTGAACAGACACTTCAACTCCTTTCAGCACTTTAAATTCAACTGACACTGAAGACACTGCTGCTGTCACTTCAGACGCTTCAGCTCCTTTCAGTCCTTACACTTCAATAAACCTGATTCTCTCACTGAGCTCAGCTCTCAGTCTAACTGAAGTTTCCACTTCAATTCCTTTTACATGTTCAGCTTCAGCTTTTTCCACCAAACTCAGAAAATCAATGTCTTTGTTTTCAGGTGTCGACTGAGCAGAGAGCCGACAACCGTCTGAGGAAATACTACAGGAGACTGAGGACAAGTACTCTGGACCGCACTGTGAGTACAAGTACTGTATAACTACTGCAGTGTATGGCTCATAGTACTGACTGTAGTACTGTGTGTGCTGACTGGAGTACTGACTGTAGTACTGTGTGTACTGACTCTAGTACTGATTGTAGTATTGTGTGTACTGACTGGAGTACTGACTGTAATACTGACTGTAGTACTGTGTGTACTGACTGGAGGACTGACTGTAGTACTGTGTGTACCGACTGGAGTACTGACTGTAGTACTGTGTGTACTGACTGGAGTACTGACTGTAGTACTGTGTGTGCTGACTCTAGTACTGATTGTAGTATTGTGTGTACTGACTGTAGTACTTTGTGTACAGGGGGCGGGGCCTGCGTCCTGGGAGCTGATCAGGAAGGAGACTCAGCTGCACCTGGATCAGTTGGACCTGCTGGTGAACTCCATCAGATCTTCAGCTGCTGCCAGCAGGAGGCGCTCTACACCAAGTCAACACCAAGACTGACACAATGCCTCTCATCAACTGTTTCTGTCTATTTATTGATTTATCAGGTTTATATTTATTGATTTATCAGGTTTATATTTATTTATTTATTTATTTGTATTTATTTATTGAAATGTGACGTTTGTCTGAATTTGACTTGAACAACAATAAAGACGTTTCCTCGCTGTTCAGAGTTTGACCTTTAAACTGATGTCAGTCAGGAAACAGCTGATCTCACTGCTGCTCATCACACACACACACAAAGTAAGTACATGTACTTTAGTACTTCAGGATAGATTTCTGAGTTACTGTCACTGGACCACGCCCATCTGAGGCTGCAGCCAATCACAGATTATGACTATAAAATAAACAGTTCTTCTCTGAACAGCTCATGTTTCCAATCATCAATATATCATCAATATCTCACTGAAGATCATAGATCAGAGAGAAGTCCACAGACTGGATCCAGATCAGTGAATCAGGACTTTGTTTCAATCATGTGATGACCCCTCACATTTATCTGGTGACCCTTCAGAGGGGCCTGACCCCCAGGTTTGGAACCAGTGGACTAAATCAACTTCAGGTTGTGAAGGTGATGTGGAGGGAAAGTAATTTATTCATTTATATTTATCTATATCTATTTATATTTATTCATATCTATATATGAGCTTTGGTCACAGTCGACCAAACGATGAGCTGATAAACAGTTAATGTGAAACAGTAAAATGAGAGCGAGCACAGCTGGATCAGACAGATGTGAAGGTTTGATCAGGGTCAGAGGTCGTGATGAACCACAGACACAGTGAGAGCTCCCTCTGTTGGACGTCTGCACACATGACATCACTGAGCTACCGTCTGTAATAGTACTACTGTTACTGTTACTGCAGTACTATCATACAGTACTATCACTGTTACTGCAGTATAAGATATAATACTGTGTGCTAGTACTGCAGTAACAGTAGTAATACTCTGTGCTAGTACTGCAGTAATGCTCTGTGCTAGTACTGCAGTAACAGTAGTAATGCTCTGTGCTAGTACTGCAGTAACAGTAGTAATGCTCTGTGCTAGTACTGCATGACCTCTGACCCTGATCAAACCTTCACATCTTACTGTTTCACATTAACTGTTGCTCTGTGGTCCAGGTTTCTGGTCCAGGTTTCTGGTCCAGGTCTCTGTGGTCCAGGTTTCTGGTCCAGATTTCTGGTCCAGGTCTCTGTGGTCCAGGTGTCTGTGGTCCAGGTTTCTATGGTCCAGGTGTCTGTGGTCCAGGTCTATGGTCCAGATTTCTGGTTCACATTTCTGGTCCAGGTCTCTGTGGTCCAGGTTTCTGGTCCAGGTCTCTGTGGTCCAGGTTTCTGGTCCAGGTCTCTGTGGTCCAGGTGTCTGTGGTCCAGGTTTCTGGTCCAGGTTTCTGGTCCAGGTCTCTGTGGTCCAGGTGTCTGTGGTCCTGGTTTCTGGTCCAGGTTTCTGGTCCAGGTCTCTGTGGTCCAGGTCTCCGTGGTCCAGGTGTCTGTGGTCCAGGTTTCTGGTCCAGGTTTCTGGTCCAGGTCTCTGTGGTCCAGGTGTCTGTGGTCCAGGTTTCTGGTCCAGGTTTCTGGTCCAGGTCTCTGTGGTCCAGATCTGGAGAAGCACTCTATAATCCAGCTGGTGGTTCAGGTTCTACTGGTTCTTTAAGAGAACAGGACTGTGGAGAGGAACACAGGTCCAGAATCTTCATGTTCACAGTGAGAACATTAAAGAACAAGAACCTTCCTGTGTTAATGGAATAAAATGAATTCACTGACTGACAGCTCTTCAAAATAAGAGTCTTTCATAGAGATGTAGTGGAGTCAAAGTTTATTCAAAATAAAACTCATGTAAAGATACACTGAAGTACCTCGTCACTGTCCAACCCTCATCACATCTGTCCACCACTGATGAAGATTAATACAGAAAACCAGGTGATTTACAGGTCCACTGACCTCTGACCTCAGAGTGATGTCATCAGTGATGTTGCTGTTTTCAGACAACAGGCAGAAAAAAACGTCGATGCAGCTCAGAGACTCTGGAAAGTGAGTGAGCAACTTCAGTGGGACAGAGCATGACTTCATCATCATCATCATCATCAGTCATTCAGAAAGACCTGCAGTAGTAGTACTGTTTTCAGGCTCCACTCGTTTTTCTCCTTTCTTTTCTGTCTAAATGTAAACTGAGTGTGAACTTCCTGTCGTCCGCCTCACACTCATCTCTTTTTTCTTTCTTTTTTCTCTCGTCTTTCTTTTCTCTCCTCTGTCTCTCCTCTCTTCTCTGTAAATGTAAACTGAGGGTTTGGGGGTTGAACCGCTTCCTGAGCCACTTTGATCTGTGACGACACAGACGAGTTTTACTTTGATTCATACAGGAAAAAAAAGGATTGTAAAATGGAATCTAAAGCACATTGTGGCCAAAAGTCTGTGAACGGGCCTGTCCTCATGTTAATGATGTATAGTTTCCAACCGTTTTAACATGAAGCTGAGTCACAGATGTTCAACATGTCGTCACATTAAAATCTGACTCATTCAAGTGTTTTATGGATAAATCAACAGACAACAACAGAAACTGTTCAACAGCTTCAAAGACCAAATCAAATCAAGTCAAATCAAACCATCATCAACCTTGCTGATCTGGTTTTTAGATCATTCTTTAATCCCCCCTTCATGTATTATAACCAAATCATTCATTCATTCATCTTACATTGTAAATATTTTATTTTATTGATGTTTCTATTTATATTTACGATGTCTGCAGAACTCGCCTGTTTCATATTTGTTTATATTTCTTTTCTTCTATGTTTATTGTCATGAACAAAATCACCAAAACAAATTCCTTGTATGTTGAAAACCTACTTGGCAATAAACCAGATTTTGATTCTGATCCTAATTCTGAGTAAAAACCTCATCTCAGCAAACTTGTCACAGATCAATAAACACATTAAAGTGTCTTTGATGAGCACCTGAATCAATCATTAGTGTTGCCCTGTGGTGCACTTTGGCTGTCCACATACTTTGGGCCATATAGCGTATTTCCAACTCTAACTCAACACATTTTGGCCAAAAGTATATGGACACACTTTCATGTTCATCCCATATTAATAAATGTATCTGCAACTTCCCATGTCCACATACTTTTGCCGAGTTTTACTCCTTTATAATTCCTATTTCTTATACTTGTTTCTATGATCCATGTGAGGTAGTGTTATATGAACAGTCATAGTGATATACCACACAGCCTGACACTCAGCTGGGGAGGGGGGTGGGGGGTGGGGGGGTTGAAAAGGGAAATTTTCCAGATTTCGTAGAATTTTTTGCTTTCAAAGCATCAGAGTTTCAGTTTCTGTCCAGGATCAGGATTTATTTAAACTGCAGGAACCAAGACCAGCACCCAGATCAACCAAGACCAGCACCCAGATCAACCAAGACCAGCACCCAGATCAACCAAGACCAGTACCTCTACCTCCAAGACCTCCAGGACCTCCAGGACCTCCAGGACCTCCAGGACCTCCAGCACCTCCAGCAGACAGTGAGTTTGTGTCATGTGTTCATTTTGTGTTTGCAGAGTAATGAGGAGAAAACTAACAAAGATTATTTTTTTCTGGTTCAGTTTGAAAAATTTTAGTTTTAAAATGAATTAAAAAAAACTAAACACTGAACTTTAAAAATAAAAACCAGTCAATAATCATTAAAATGTCAAACTGATCACAAGTTCAGTGATGTAAACTTTATAAACTGTGAAATTCTCTGTTTACTTTGTTTTTGTTCAGTTTTATGGTTTTAAATAAAGCTGCTGCAGTTAGTGTCACAATAAAAGAACTTCCTGTAGTTAAAGTATCACAATAAAAGTACTATGTAGGTGGAGCTGCTTTCACTATGTCATATACACTTCAATCACTGGTTCCCTACCCGGGGGTGGGCCCCTCCAGAGGGTCACCAGGTGAATCTGAGGGGTCAGTTTGACTGAAAGGAAACAACAAACACCTGTGGCGATCAGTTGACATCATCTCTCTTTCTAATTCTTTCTAATGTTCAATCTTAATTAACCTTAGTTCTTCCCTTCAAAACAATCTGTAATGATAACAACAATAATAATAATGATAATAATAATAATAATTAAGATAATATGAGGAGTCTTGGCAGTAATTGAACAAACAGCATCAAACGGTCACAGTCTGAGTCTCAGTCTGAGTGAATGAGCGTCTCCATGTCGAGGCTCAGAGTGATGACGTCAGCAGGTCGAGCATCGCAGCGCAGATGGAAACAGAGCTAATAGAAATAATGATGAGCAGATAAGTTTCATTTCAGCTCAGAGATAGAGTGAAGCCTGGTCCTGGTCCTGGTCTGACACAGTCCAGCAGTCCCTGATCGCTGTGACTCAGCAGCTCTCTCACTTTCAGTCCATCTCACTGAGGAGGAACCTTTGATTGAAGGTTGAAGTTTCCAGCCTGAATGGAAACCTGTTCCCATCCTGCTGCTGGCGCTGAAATGAAACCGACATCTATGACTTCAGTTTCCATCTGCGCCATGACGATTGACGTCTCTGAAGCGCTGAACAGGGAAACCTGTTCATCAGAAATCGAGCTACGTTATCATGACAAATGGCAACTGTGTCACATGACGCGGCGTCCTCCAGATAAATATCAACGTCCTCTCCGTCGCTCTGAACCTGGAGCTTGAACTGCGACAGACTCAGGTCAGAGTTCATCTTTCATACTGGAACCAGACTCGTGGTTCCAGACGAGTATCAGACCAGGACCAGACCAGACCAGGATCAGAAATAATGAGGACCAGATCAGGATCAGATCAGGATCAGATCAGGAACAGATCAGGATCAGATCAGGATCAGATCAGGATCAAACCACGGTCAGATCAGGATCAGACCAGGACCAGACCAAGACCAGACAACGGTCAGATCAGGATCAGACTGTCGAACGTTTGGAGACAAAGACACTTATTCATTAATCTTTTGTAACTGAATGAACCTGCAGTGACTCACCTGGTCCTGGTCCAGGTCTCTGCCGCTGTGTTTGGGATTAAAGTCTCTGTGGTCTGATGACTCACACAGGTAGACGGCTTCTGATTGACTGATTGGTCCAATCTGCTCCTCTCTGTTCCAGGTTATCTGAACTCACCTGAAGCTGCTGGCTCATTCAGCACACCTGAAGCATCTTAGTCCAGCTCAGTCCAGCTCTGACCAAGACCACCTGAAGAACCAGGATCAGGACCAGGACCAGTTCAGGTGGAGTTTTTTAAAACTCAGAATGTCAGTTTGTCTTTGTTTAAAACTTCAGCTAAAACTGAGATCTGTTTCTGAACCTCAGGACCAGAACAACCAGGACCATCAGACCCAGAACAATGAAGTCCTCTTCAGTCCCCCTCATCCTTCTGCAGCTCTGCAGCCTCCAGCTGATGGTGGTTGCCATGCCGACTTGCCAGCTGCTGGAAGACGTTGTCCAGACCACTCACAACCTGCTCAGAGACCTGGTAAGACCCTGCCCCTTCACCTGTGCTTTCAGTAGCTTAGCTTTAGTCTTAGCTGACGTCAGTCTGGTCTGAACTGTTTCCTGTCTGTTCTGTAGGGGGGGCCATTTCCTGTCCACTGCATGCAGTACAATGTTAACATCTCTTTCCCTGACTCTGCCTTCCCTGCTGCCACAGCCAGTCACCCTCAGGTAAGCCTCTGACCTCACCTGAGCCTCTCAGCAAATCAAAGAGCTGTATTTTTATGTTCAAACAGTTTGAAACTCTGATGTCTAATTGGTTCCCTGCAGTGCCGCCAGGCATTATGGGTGGTGTATGAGACTCTGCGGGAGACGCAGGAGCTGTTTCAGGAGTTGGACTTACCTGTCGGAGAGGGCGGAGTAACCTGGGACAGTAAGAAACTCGCCGACTTCCTGAACCTGCAGTATGGACTGGTGGAGGAGGGAAGCTGTGTGAGTATCACACCTGAGGATCCTCAGAGACCACCCCATACCTGTGTCACTGCTTATTCACCCCCCCCTCTCTCTCTGCAGCTGGCCACCACCAAGGCTCCAGGTGTGCTGTCTTCTTACTTCAGCAACGTCACAGCTTTTGTGCAGCAACAGGTAAACATCTTGTTTGTTTCAGTCACAGATTTTACTTTGAAAAACTCCACATAAATTATATGAATTATAACATATAACAAATTTTATGAATATGATATAATCATTTCATTTATTTATTTAATTAAGTTTTTCATCAATTTTCATTCATCAGTTAAATGTTCATTGATTGTTGTTTGTTCATTTCATTTGTAAATAAATAATTATAAATAATTCAAAGTAACTCTTCATATTAAACACATGCGTAATGATTAGACGATGAGTTTGTCAGTCAGAATGTGTTGACCAATCGGAGCTGGGGGGGGTGTCTCTGTGTGTCACAGGACAGCGCTGCCTGTGGTTGGATGGCTCTGAGGAGAGATGTCCTCTGGGTCCTAAAGACCGCCCTGCACAAGTATCACAGCTGCTTCGCCCAGAGAGCTAGACATTGACCACGCCCACTGATGACCGAGACCACACCCGTTAATGACAGAGGCCACGCCCAAAAGTGAATTACTTATAATTGATTATCAGTATTTATTTATTTATTTATTTAACCTATTTATTTATTTATTTATTTATTTATCTATTTATTTAAATAAATTTTGATACTTTTATATTTATGTTTATATTTTTCTTTTTTTGTATTTTTCTTTTTTTTATATTTTTGTTCTTTACTTAAATTCTGTTTGTTTGTGTCTTCTGTTTAAATTGAACCAGATTAAAGCATAATGAAAACTGACAATTTGAACTTTGCTCTAATTTAACACACACACACACACACACACACACACACACACACACACACACACACACACACAAAGGATGAGCATCTGTTCCAATCTAAGTCTGTTCTCTCTAACAGTGGGTTCTCTAACAGTCGTTCCCTCTAACAGTCTGTTCTATAACAGACGTTCCCTCTAACAGTCGGTTCCCTCTAACAGTCGGTTCCCTCTAACAGTCGGTTCCCTCTAACAGTTGGTTCCCTCTAACAGTTGGTTCTCTCTAATAGTCTGTTCTCTCTAACAGTGGGTTCTCTAACAGTCGTTCCCTCTAACAGTCTGTTCTATAACAGACGTTCCCTCTAACAGTCTGTTCTATAACAGACGTTCCCTCTAACAGTCGGTTCCCTCTAACAGTCGGTTCCCTCTAACAGTTGGTTCTCTCTAACAGTCGGTTCCCTCTAACAGTTGGTTCTCTCTAACAGTTGGTTCTCTCTAATAGTCTGTTCTCTAACAGTCTGTTCTATAACAGACGTTCCCTCTAACAGTCGGTTCCCTCTAACAGTCGGTTCCCTCTAACAGTTGGTTCTCTCTAACAGTCTGTTCTCTAACAGTGGGTTCTCTAACAGTCGGTTCCCTCTAACAGTTGGTACTCTCTAATAGTCTGTTCTCTAACAGTCTGTTTTCTAACAGTCTGTTCCCTCTAACAGTCTGTTCTCTTACAGTTGGTTCTCTCTAACAGTCTGTTCTCTAACACAGTGGTCCCCAACCCCCGGGCCCTGGACCGGTACCGGTCTGTGGGTCATTTGGTACCGGGCCGCACAGAAGGAATAAATAACTTACATTATTTCCGTTTTATTTATTATCCAAGTCTGAACGTTTTATTTTGAAAAATGACTGAACACTGAACACATGTCAAGATGCTTGTCTCGGTCACGTGATACATTAACGCTAATATTAAACCCACAAGCTAGCAAAATGAGTCAAAAACAGACGTCTCTGGAAAGTTTCTTTGCAAAGGGGAAAAGGCCCAGTGAGGAGACAGAAGAAGAACCTATGACCACTAAGAAGAAGAAATCTGTATTTAACAGACAGTACCAGGAGACCTACTTAAAATATGGATTTATCGCGACAGGTGATTCCCACGCACCAAGCCCGGTCTGCATAATATGCGGCGACCGGCTCTCCAATGAGGCAATGAAGCCTTCAAAACTGCTTCGCCACTTGGAGACCAAGCACCCTGCATTAAAAAACAAGCGTTTGGAGTATTTTGAAAGAAAAAAGCGGGAACAAGAAGGACAGAAGCAATTACTGAGGGCCTCCACATCACCGAATGCAAGTGCACTGAGAGCATCATATTTGGTGGCTAACCGTATTGCTAAGGCTAAAAAGCCATTCACTATTGGTGAAGAATTGATCCTTCCCGTGACTAAAGACATTTGCTGTGAACTTTTCGGAGAGGCTGTGGTTAAAAAGATAGCACAGGTGCCTCTGTCGGCTAGCACCGTCACTCGGCGCATTGAGGAAATAGCAGAGGAAATTGAGACACAGTTGTTGGAGAGGATTAATACATCACCGTGGTACGCACTGCAGGTTGACAAGTCTATAGATGTGGACAACAAGGCAATACTACTTGTTTATGTGCGATACCTTTATCAGGAGGATGTGCATGAGGATATGTTGTGTGCACTATCGTTGACAACCAAAACCACAGCCGCAGAACTATTCAAGTCGCTGGATGATTATGTATCAAGAAAACTGAAATGGTCCTTTTGTGTCGGCATATGCACAGATGGAGCTGCTGCCATGACCGGACGGCTGTCTGGTTTAACTGCTCGGATTAAGGAGGTTGCACCTGAATGTGAATCTACACATTGTGTCATTCACAGAGAAATGCTGGCAAGCCGAAAAATTCAATTCAATTCAATTCAATTCAATTCAAACTTTATTTATAGAGCGCATTTCATGCACAAGGCAGACACAATGTGCTTAAAAAAAATGCCACCAGAACTTAACAGCGTATTGAATGATGTTGTTAAAGTTATTAACCACTTCAAAGCACACGCCCTTAACTCGCGCCTATTCGAGCAACTTTGTGAGGAGATGAACGCGGAGCACAGACGCCTTCTCTTATACACAGAAATAAGATGGTTATCCCGAGGGAGATGGCCAGAGTGTTTGAATTACGAGAGCCGCTGCAGAGATTTCTCTCAGAAAAGAAATCAGCGCTGGCAGCACATTTCAGTGGCAAGGAGTGGGTCGCTCGTTTACTTGTGCGACGTATTCAGCCTGATCAATGAACTCAATCTGTCTCTTCAGGGGAAATCAGTCGGTTCTCTCTAACAGTCTGTTCTCTAACAGTCTGTTCTCTAACAGTCTGTTCTCTAAAAGTCGGTTCTGTCTAACAGTCTGTTCTCTAAAAGTCGGTTCTCTTCTAACAGTCTGTTCTCTAACAGTCGGTTCTCTCTAACAGTCTGTTCTCTAACAGTCTGTTCTGTCTAACAGTCTGTTCTGTCTAACAGTCGGTTCTCTAACAGTCGGTTCTCTAACAGTCTGTTCTCTCTAACAGTCGATTCTCTCTAACAGTCTGTTCTCTAACAGTCGGTTCTCTCTAACAGTCTGTTCTCTAACAGTCTGTTCTCT